TCCCTCTTTACACCCCATGGAGTAGAAGGCAATAAATGAATATATTAATCGTTTTTGGAGCTCTTTTGTTAAGTAACTCTGGTCTGTGTTGAATTTCTATCTTGAATTTTTTGAAATAAATAAATAACAGAGATAAGAGCATTTCCAATTCACAAAATGAATAGTCTTTGCATACGAAATGTTCATGTTTAAATCAATCTCATTTCATGGAGTCCCGTTTACTGGACTTCAGGCATTTTATGCACAGAGAATCGAAGGTCTGGGAAGATTTATTTATTTATTTACTTTTATAGCTTTACATTTCCCTGATTAGTTGTTAGACTCTGTACTCATAACGAAACACAACAATCTTAAGTTCCCCCAAGTTATGTGCTCCAGGCATTCATTAAGTTTCACAATACCCATGAATAAATCTACATAGCGATCAACAAAAAGTTTTATATAATCTGAGTTGTAGAATACTTCTCGCTCTCTCTCTCTCTATATATATATATATATATATATATATATATATATATATATATATATATATATATATATATATATATATATACATATATATATACATATATATATATATATATATATATATATATATATATATATATATATATATATATATATATAAAGACAAATGGCTTGGTGAATACCTCAGTGTATAGGATTTCCTAAAAGCGCGTTCACGAGTCTACGGAAACCGCGGCAGACCAAACCAGATGAAAGTGCGCATTCAGCTCGGCAAAGAACTCATGCTCTTCCTCAACACTGAAGTCCTCAGACATTTTTCTTTCGTTGTTTCTTTCTTTGCACAGGTAAACAGCACATTTCTTCTTCTACGCTTGCATTATCGGCAGAGCAGACGCTGAATGCGCACTTTCATCTGGTTTGGTCTGCCGCGGTTTCCGTAGACTCGTTAACGCGCTTTTAGGAAATCCTATACACTACTGTTTATGCTCTAAAAACATTCTAAATGACTTCGTTTCGAGTAAATTATGGACGCTACCCACTCAGGACACTTGGAATACATTGGACGAGCAGTATGGAGGAATATTGACACGTTTTTTGTAGACTTTTATGGACCTTTCTGCCTTGGGCGCTATAGACCTCCATTATTTGAATGTCAGCAGACAGCAAGAAGCCTCTCAGATCTCCAGATGCATTTGAGATATCAAAAAAGTACTCCAGAGGGTTGTTCAGCATGGGGGTGAGTAGAAAATGAAGGCTTATCATGTTTTGGGTGTACTATTCCTTTAAGTAAAGTTAAATGCTTGCTTTCAGAGTTATCCTCATATTTGATTGGCTACGTCTGCATTTGACCACTGATTTGCTTTGATCATCAGTCTTAGTAGGGATTCAAGCTTCAGACCTGTTAGTAACACTTGTTTAGCCGACCATTGTGAGCTTTTATAGCAATTTGAAATCATAGACAAAAGATAATTTGGATGGGTTAGTGCAGTCAACTAGTCATCACTTCACTCTAGATCAACTCAGGCATCCCCTTTGAAGTCGGTTTCATATGTCGAGTGCTACACTGTTGTAATGTGCCTTTTAAAAAATGTTCCATCTGATTCTGTGCAATAGTCTTGAGTATTGCAGCTTCCACAGCTTCATTATTTGCTTCAGATAAGCTAGACTTCCAGTTAAACTCTGCTGTTAACCAAACATTTATTCATGCCTGCTCAACTTGTTTTATGTTTTATCTTTTAGTAAATATGCATTGGTGGACCTTACATTGTGCAGAACTGTTAAGAATTCTGGAAAAATACATCTAAATAGGGCAATGATATGATTGGGCATTCATTGTAAGCACAGTGAAATACCTCAGTTATTTTGGATGGTGAGCTTTGCAATCTGACATTGTCAACACTTTTCAGCATACTATAGTTATTTTGTTATTAAAACACTGGTATTCTTTGCTCAGTGCACAGTCCCACATCAGGGTACATTTATACAGCTGTGTAGGCTGCAATACTTAACAGTCATTAGGAGGTTAGGCACCGAGCAGCTCAATCTTTGCAGGCACTAATGGTCCAAGCGAAATACTTTTTTTGTGATTTTCTATATTAGCTGGAGGTGAACACAATGGTGTACAGCTGGCATAAATGTAGCTCAGTCACCAAGCGATACCTGTTGGTAAATCCACAAAGAGATTGTTTTGTATTACACAAATGATTTGATTTTTCTCTCCTTCCTAATGCTTATAAGAGTGCGCCATAGAGAGGTATTCGGCTATTGATTGTTTCTGTCATACAGTCATGTTTGCTAATACACCTTGAAATTAAAAGTGGTTGCTTTTTTGTTTTATTTTTGCTTTTATTAAATTCACACATAACAATTTCCTAAATGTCAAACACAGTGAAGTGTAAATGCCACAATAAAAAGCAGTAGACCTAAAAACCACAAAATCCTACAGATGGTTGATTTTTTATTCTATGGCATTAAGGTGCATCTTTACATAGTTGAAGGATTTAAATATTATTAGTCATTTTGTTAGACAATATGCTGTTTTCTGCTACTTTGTATTTAATGGAACTCTTAATCTTTTGAAAACTTGCCTAATAGTGTTTATTCATGCTCTTTAAGTTATTGTTAAAGTCATCCTTACATTTACTTTCATATTCATTTATTTTGTCTCTCCAGCTACGTCCAACATATTTCTAGCTCTGCTTTCCTCACAGCTAAGGCCAATTAATGAAACTTGCTATAAAATCTAGCGATCAACTTCTCTATCATTAAGCTCTGGTGTTACTTTTTTACGCCAAGCTCTTTGCAGCATTTGGGACCTAAACTGAAAGAGCTATTCATAGCAAACTGGTTGTCACAGAGAGGAAAAAAAAGTTATTGATAAAAAATAGTTTATCAGTTAACAGCCCTTAATGTGGCTCTTAAAGTTCAGGTCAGGGCATCACTAAAGTTTTCACCTGAATAATTTTGTGGCCAGTTCAGATTCCTTTAATAGATCAAAGCTAGAGAATGACAATGGCAAAGGAGGTAGGAATAGTTAAGTCCTGTTGATAATTTGTTTCTTAGACCTTCTCACATTCTTATCTGGAGCATAGGAGTAATACTGAACTCCAAAATCTTTTGCGTAAAATTATGTATATATGCAACCCAACTCCTGGAGTTTAACAAAAATGCAGTATTTCTTCTTGTGTATTCTGTGTGATTAATGAAAATTTACACATAAGCATATGTTTTGGCTTTTCTAATGCAGAACTTCACCTGGTTTCTACAACTGCGTTACTTTTCTTTATATTTGTTTTTTACGTAAAGCTTTATTCCCAATTTGACTAGAAACATCCATGTAAAGTTCCTTTATCTAATGATGTATGTAAGACTGAAGGCTTTCTGGATTTGGCGCACCTCCTTGGACTTCCTTTTCTACCCATGGTAGTGTTCTTATTGTATATTCATTTACAATATTATTATTTAATAGGATATTTAATAGGATTTAATATAAATTGGTAAAATATCGTCCAATAATATGCAATACACTAGACCAACAAATAGAAACCCCTCATGCTGAACTGACAAAACATCTTAAAATAATAGTTAAAGAATTCCTGTCAAGATTACAAGAAAAACAGATTCTAATCGTATTGTTTGGATGAGACCCTGACTTTAGCGGGATCTATATTTATTGGGACAGTTCATTTCTCCACATTGTACTTTGACAAATCTATTCATATAGCAATTAGTGTTACAAGTGGAAAACATATATCGATAATTTTTTTTACCAGGCCAGCACATCTATGCTCAGTCTGAGTATACAGACATTGGGGGGTAACAATGTACACTGGGAACTGGGGCTGAACCAAGAACAAACTTCCTTTTTATGACCCACCTAAATACATAAACTCAACCTAAGTTAGCTAAATAAGCTATTTACCCTCAAACCTTTGTCTGCATCTTATCTGTTGACATTTGATGTGTCTTCCAATTTCAGTTTCAACCCGAAATGCCCCCTGAACAATTCTGTCTTTGTTCCCCTATTGAGCCTACTCATTAATATTCATTATTTTTGTCAATATAATTTAGTTTAACTTGGAAGCAGCCATTAATGTTTAAAATCTAATCTACAAGAATGGACATACCTTAAACCTCCGTGGGCCCAGGGAGACTAGATGTCTTGATTTGTGCTTTTTTTTTTTTCCACTTCTGTCCTGCGGTGCCTCAGACTAAATTAATGTCCTGCATTTGATTGCTTCAAGTCATCAAAAGAAAAAATAAATGAAAAATTCACAGGTGCCTTTCATAATGTGAAGAACGCAGAGCTGCAGTCATTGTCACACAGAGCTGCACCAGTGTCCCACATTATGACCAGGCTGGTAACAATACTCTAAAGGATTTTTATATATGGAAACTATGGTAAAAGGAACTAAAACAAAGCAACAACAAGGACTGTGAAATGATCTATAACTGGATTGGGAGAGAGGCCGTTGATTCTTAGGGTTTTTTTTGAAATTTGCCAATTTTTTTATTTTTGATAAGAGGGGAGGGCGATGTAAAGCAACATTGTTAGTCAAAAAAGAAGCACACAACGGAAAAGCCACTTCCCTTATAAGCATCATAAGTATCTCGCATTTGTCTTTTTGAGATCTAGTCATCCTATGTGGGCCACTTTATTTAAATGCAGCCTGAGACAAAAACAGAATATGTGGTATGTGAGTAACAAGCCAGCCCTGGCTTTGTGAAAATTTGATAAACACATTGCCTTCAGTATTATAACCACTGACTTTATCACTAATTTGGACATCACCAATTCATCTCATTTACAGTGAGAACATGGCATTGTCTTGTCTGAAGTGCTGATTAAGTCTGAGACCTAAAGGTTGCTACAACAGCACATCCATACTGGGATATGACATTTACACTAAATTAACTATAAATGTTAGACATTTAGTCAATTCTTAAAAGGTTTTCTGTCCGATTACCATTTAAAGGAAAAAAAAAAAGAAATTAAAACAATTTATTCTTCCTCTTTCCTTTTTCCTCTGTAGACACTCTTTCAGTGCCTCGCTGGTCCCCACAGATTCCCCGAAGAGATCTGGGAAACTCAATAAAACACAGGTAGGTCTGGGGGACATTGGGGGGCTGTATCTGGGATATAATTGTTGCATAATACACATGTAATACACATGTAATATAACTTTGAAAGGATTTGATCTTTGTTCATGTTTTTTTTTGTTGTTTTTTTGGTTTTTTTTTACAAATTTTAATTTTTCAGATTATCAAGCAAAAAGTCAACATCACAAGAAGTTGTTTTCTTTTGATAATGTGAAATTGTACCTTCAATAAGAGTTTTCTTTTTATAATAGAACCTAAAAATCAACTTAAAAAAAAAAATGTCTTTTTAATCCACAGCATATTATTTGGGAAAAAAATAGGATTTTATTGGTAAATGTGTGATGAGTTTTTATTTTTTTATTATTTTGGTTACTTTTTACATTGAAACTGTTTTCACTGTTTCTTTCCCATTAATGAATTATAAGGACTAAGCCTACTGGTGCAAGTAAGGTATTCAGTGCTGTAGCTGTTCTATCTCTTATACCTCTTGGAGGAGTCACTGATAACCTCTTGGGTCCTGATCTTCAAAGAATCAAAATCAGGAGTGCTAAATACATATAAAAAACAGAAAAAGACATGTAACAAGTGTACAATACGTGTTGCCGATGGAATACAATAATTGCATGTGAAAATAAAAAGATGTGCAAACAGGTTTGGTGCATTCCATGAAAATTAGTAAATCGTGTATAGGTCTGCTAATGGCAGTATGAGAGTGGCTATAGAAGAAATTGAAAGTTTTAAGCAAGTTGGAGTAATTCTGCTGGAATATTAGGAGTTTCTCCAATTGTAGAACATGTCTTATAATGTACTTTAATTAAGTTGCTTTTGACTTGTTTAAGCATATTCATGATGGCAGACAGGTACTGTGTAAGGGGTGTGCTCTATTCTACAGGTCTGTGCATGACTAGTTAAACTCTGTCAGGAATACTGTGATTACTCACAGTTTCCAGAACCTATCAAAAAGTTATTTTTGATATGGCACCAGGTTTGATCATCATTAATGAAATCAATATTTAGAATATTTAAGTGTAAAAAAAAACATTAATTGAAAGCTGTATAACTCTAATGTAACTTTAAAATGTCTTTAACATTTCTGTTTAAAGCAACAATCTGCTTATACCTAATTACCTCTTTTTTAAGATATTCTTTTTTCTTGTTTTTTAGATAAATGCATTTGTTTACATCCCCCCTCTGTGCTGAAGGATAATTTACTTCATACAGAATCTGACCTCACTGTCCTACATAATTGACAGTCGGCTAAAACATTCTGTCAAATGGAATTGGTTGGAGTGAGGTGTGACTCATTTGAGGCAAAGGAGCGGTCTAATAAAGAGATTTTGATTCTGTCAAACTACATTAGTCACCTGTCATTAGCCAGCCAGCGGCACTGCTGGAGTCCAGGCGTTGCATCAGTAAATACTGCCAATTGTCACAAACGTGTTTCAAACGGTCAGTCAATCTGTGCAGGGAATTGTTTGTGCTGCAGAACCAGGGGTGGATTTGCTTGAGAAGTGGCTGTGTTTGACTGTAACCACAGATACAAGCTTAAGTACTCCAAATCACGTAGATGGATAAATGTATGGGTATTAACCCTGTGGCCTCTCCCCTATGCTTCAGATTGACTGTTCATTCACACCCAGTCTAAAAAAGATAGAAAATGAAATTGGCCCAAAAAAGTCACCCAGTTAGGAAAATTATTATGGTAAACGCTTAAATACAAGAAACTCCTTCAGGTGTGCATTAGTCTTGCATATATATATATATATATATATATATATATATATATATATATATATATATATATATATATATATATATATAGATTTAGAGGAAGGTCAAATATTCTCATAATTGATTTTCCAAAGCTTCAAAGGTGTTTTCCTTGATGACAGACGCACTTCTGTCATTTCTCACTTACAGGTTTTCCACCAAGTACTGGATGTCGCAGACATGCATAGTATGTGGAAAGGGAATGTTGTTTGGACTAAAATGTAAAAACTGCAAGTAAGTAAGCCATCTTTACCCCTCTTTTTTCATTTTTGCTGCTCCACATTTGCTTAACCTCTGGTTTTATCTTTATTGAATAAATAAGCAGTTTCTTTTCTAATATTCACTTTAAAATTCACTATCTGTCTGTGTTATTTTAAATTTTGAGTAAATGTACAAAAATCTAAAAACTAAAATAATTTCTGTACTAGGCTGAAGTGCCACAACAAATGCACCAAAGAAGCCCCACCTTGCCATTTACTGATTATACAGCGAGGTGGACGAGAATCCCTCAAAGGTAATGTGAATTACTGAATATAAATGAATTTGGATTAAATTGCATGATAAGTATTTATGAGGGAACAAAGATGAAATGCTAGTCTTAAGTTCAAAATTTTTTCATTATCTTATTAACTTTCAAAAGTACATTCATACCGTAAATCTTCAGGGTAAATGCTAATTTTTCATGCAAGTTAGAACATCCTTATGTTAACCTGTAATCCCAGTCCAGGAAGTAAAAACTCTACCTTCCTTCAACCTGTTCACATAACCTGGTGATTAATTCCCAATCTGTGCTATAGAGCTGGAGAGGCAAACGATTGGAACTCATCTTATTACGGAGTCTTTACTGTCTTGACCTGGATTGTCCACCCCTGCACGGCTCATTTTGGTTTTGTACATGTGATGTCTCTCCTTCAACTCTGCCAGGCTCCTGATAATCTGGAATAGGCCCCTATACTTGTTTAAAATGACTTTGTTACCAACATATTTTCAGAAATATATGTGAAAATGTCGAAACTGAGGAAAATTTCAGTTGTTCAATCTCAGATATGTGATTGTTGACCAATTGAAGCTGTAAGAAAAATATAATGTTAAAAAAAATAAATCAAAGTGTATCAATGGTTTAATGTGCATTTCTAAAGTCATATAATTAATTCTTTGGAATTAATTGCATGCATTAATCAGTATATCTTGCATCATAAGATAACTTATCCTCATCATAGGCAGAAGATTTTCAATGAGGCAAATACCTTGCAAGGATTTGAGTTTACATTGGAAATGTGGATGAATGCCTGAGCTATTTGAGATAATGAGACATTCACCATTTGGACTTAAAATTTTAATGTTTGTGGTGTTTTTTTCAATGGTTCTATAAATTAGACAAAAAAATTTGATAAAATTGAAACCTTACTGGCATAAACTGCTCTATAAGCAAAACTGAACTACTTTACTGCAACACTTGTATTAATTGTAACATTATTACAAAAAAAACTTTGAATACAAATAAAAACATAATTTTGAGAAAGCAACAACACTATAACAGCATAACAACAACAGTATAACAGCAAAAGTAGTGTGTGCAGTTTGCATATACATCATTATCATAAGTTCATTGTTATACATTTTCTTGTCTATAGTAGACAGAACAGTTTTCCCTTTTACATCTAAACTAATTTTAAGTACCTAATTTGCTGGATCAGCTGCCCCTGATAAAAACTTGCCCGTAGAGTACATTTTAATTACTGTAAAAAACAGACATGCTTATTTTTGTAGCTCTGACACTATTCAGTTTGCTTGAGTGTAACTCTAAAAAAGAGCAAACTTCCTTGTCTGCCAAGTAAGGACTTTCTGTGAGAGCCGTGACAGGAATATCTTGATTAACTGAACAGAAACTTTTAGACTTACAACTTCCAGGAACAGGATGGTAAGGAAAAACCTGAAATGTTGCTTGACAAAGCCTTGCTCTGTCTGACCTGATGTATAATTAACAAAGGTCCAGTTTCCTGGAACTGTGTGGAAGTGACGATCATAAAGATATCCATGTTTCAGAAGAACTTCTGCTGCCTTCTTGATGATTTATTTTTGAATAAACATTATTAAGAAATAAAGATTTATTCCAGCAAGACCCTTTGGATATATCATAATAACATGCCTGTGTAACAATAAGATGTGGTTACCCGCAGTCCAGAGTCATTGCTGCTCCTCCCTCCATTTGTTTTTAAATGTCCACCTACAAAAAAAATAGTTTTTGTCTCTATTAAAATGTAACCTGCTCTGCAGAAAGAATGTTCTTCTATGATTAATGAATAAAGTTAATCCTGAGCAATGATTAGAGATGCACTGTTTATCCTAACTCTGAAAGCACCAGAATTCCTATTGTTTGCTGTAAGACAAAATAACCCATTGTCCTTTCTTTGTCTTTTCTTTTTTTTTCAAAATAAGATCAACCAGGATCAATTCAAGGTAAGAAGCTATAATTAGATTACTCCAACTGTGCCTTCATAAGAAATGTGACACTTTCATAATGACATTGTCTGCTTAAGGAGTTCAATAATGTCTGTTTTTCATAACGAGTTGTGAGAATATATACATATATTTTTTTAGATGAGAAGCAGTGCTTAACTGAGTTATTAAGCAACTGTTAAAGTTTCCCACAGTGCTTAGTTGTTTCTCCCTTTTTTATTTTTTTTCTGTAGTTGCTCGTCTGGTACGGACTGAATCAGTGCCATGTGACATCAACAACCCGCTCAGGTACACAGACCTGCATATCAGTCAGACGCTCCCTAAAACCAACAAAATAAACAAGGTGGGCATGACAAATAAACTCCAAATCACACCATGTTTGTAACCTGTCATACATATCACGTTCTGTCATTTATTGGAATAAGTTGAGTCATTGTTATTGTATAAGTTGAGTCATTGTTCTGTTGACACAGGTGCTTTTGTTTTCATAGGCACAATGTTTTACATCCAGCAGAGTTCAGAGGTTATGATTTGTTTCTCGGCAATAAAGATTATCAAGTATTTCCTTGTGTGTAGCTATAAGGGCAAGTTTAACACGCATCAGTGGATCGAAACATAAAAACAAAAGATTCTATAATATGGAGCATTGTATGCGATCTGTAGAAAGTCAATAAATCAGTTTTAAATATATTTTCAGTTCTACATATTTTAGGCTTTATCCTGCATACTATTTTGAGGTGATAGAATCTGTGTACATGTACTTGTTAGAATACCAAGTTACAATATGTAAAAAATAGGACCAAAACATTCTCCACAATTTACATGACATTTATATGCTGACCTGAAGAAAAAAATACATAAAAACAAAGCTTCATCTTTGATCAGAAACAAGAGCTCCTTATCAAAAGACAGTTTCCCAAGACAAGCAGTAAAAAAAAAAATTGACAAGATTTTCGTCAAGGGAAAATTATGATTTTCCAAAAGAAAGATGTTATTTGCTTATCGTCACATAATGTAAAACTCTCCTTTAGTAACAGAGAAGAAAACTTCCCATCAAAAAATTATCAATTCTTAAGAAACAGAGTCAATAGAGATAAAGTGGATCTGTCCAAGCAGATTATTCTATATTGCTCAGCTAGTCATAATCTTCAAGATTTATTGGTCTTCTTAAGTAAAAAAAAAAAACTTGTAAAAGAAAAACTGATAGAAAAAAATAATCCAAATCACATTTAAAAAAAAGTCCTATACATAGTTTAGTATGTCTGTAGAGGGACACATAAAATCCACAACATATGATGGAGGAATGTCATCAATAGTCTGATGAAATTTGAGACAGCATTATTAAACTGGTAGTTTCTATAGAATGAATGAAAATAACACAAACAGCTCAGAGAGACTGGCAGCAAACCGAAAGAATTTGTCATGAAACGGGACAGATAGACCCAGAATTCAAGGAGAGACAGTCAGTAGGAAAGTTCAAAGATTTTATTAAAGAACAAAAAACTAAAACTAAATTGGAGCTGCTAGGATCTGCGGCTTGCGGATGCTGCAGGAGGGGGGCGGGGCACTGTCCAATCACAAACACTCTGGTGGGAGAAACACAGGTAAGTGACAACAATCATCAGACAGAAGATGATAATCTCAATGAGTCACTTATCTGGTTTAACAGTTCAGTTCATAACCCTTGAAGGGGCACGAACCAGCAGATGGGCTGATAGCTGATGCGGCTCGCATCCCCAGACTGTCCCTGGTGCTGCAGCTCCAGAGGATTGACAGTAGGCTGATCCTGGACAGGGATACAGATCAGTGAGGAACAGTCAGAAGTCAGGATCCAGGCTTCCAGGTAATCCACCAGCTCCCAGGCAGGTTCAGAGTCCAGATGCGTGACCAGCCGGTCACTGGCTCAATGGAAGAGGGTAGCCGAGACAGGACATGGAACCAGAACTTGATGCAGGACTTTTAAATTGGTCTCCATCTTGGAGCCAGGCTTACTGGGATAAAAACTGACCCAAAACAGAGCCAAAAACCCAGAGGGCTCAGCAGGGGAGGAACAGTGGACGAGCAGGAGACGAGACAGACACAAAACCCTCTTTCAACTGGCCGCCAGGATCCAGGACAAAAACCTTAGAAACAAACAGAACTGAACAGAAAACATCAAATGATCTGGCCCTGATAGCTGGAACTGAGCCCAGTATAAGAGCTGGATGAGATGACTGATAATTAGGAGGTGAAAAGGGTTGAGCAGGTGAATGGCATGAGTAATCAAGTCCAGCTATCACAGCAGATCATGACAGAATTGACAGGAATGGGGAGCAGTTATTTCTACAGATGTGTATACTGTATGTATTTGTTTTTACCACTGTCACACCCAATGTTGCTACTGTAAGGATTACAGCATTCAACAACGGAGAGCAAACTATGTGGGACACTCCTTTAAGCTAAGATATACAAAACCCCAAACTAAATATTATCAAAAGAACTCTGGTCAAGTTCCTGTTACGTTTCTGTTTCGATAGAACAGGGGATTTTATTGAGGTGGATGAACTCATAAACAGTTTAAAATGCGTGTCAGCTTCTACCCCAAACCAGCTGTGAAGAAGCAAATAAATGAATAGAAATATAGTATTTTTTTTAAACTCAGGAAAGCCCAGGTACAGATCAATATATTTAAAGGAATTATTAAACGGTCTAGCCAAAGTTCAGAGCGGAATTTGCAAGCAAAAAATAATGATAATTTGAAGAAGACTGTTGTTCAGAGATGTCTTGGCAATTCAAGAGATTTAGAAAACAATATAGGATAGGGAGAATTTATAATACAAATCAATGTGATATGCTGAGGGTGACACCTAGCAGAGACTACCTAGAACTGATCAAATAAAAAGGTGCTCCTAAACCGTGGGTTTGAGAGAGCGTACATTCATGCATTCCTATCCACTGCTATACGTTTATATGTTAGCTGTTTCTCTTAAATCATTCATCAGTTTTTTTTACATCAACTGTATAGAATGAATGTAAAACATGTTTTAAATGATCATATTATAAACTTATGGTATACCTTAGTTTGAAGAAAAACCCTCATTATTGCATCATTAACAATGCCATAACCCAGCAATGTGGGTAAAAAAACTTCATTATATCATATCAATGATAAAATGTTCTATCTTAGAAGTAAAAAACAAAAAACAGAATTGGCTTCATAATTTCCAAATTATTTAAAATATTTTGACAGTTAAAATATGTATATAGGCTGACTATCTAAAGCTTTAAAAGTCTGATTCATTACAGCATAACGTTGTTGCTCATATGGTCAAAGTATAAATGTTTAATCTTGCAATGTGCTTTTACTCTGATTTGCTGACTTTGTCCATCAACAGTGTTTTAAGACATTTATCTTACAGCAATAACTTGTGATAATCTAAATCTGCTTTATTTTATGCTTCTCCTCAGGATCACATCCCAGTTCCTTACCAACCAGACTCCAGCAGTAATCCTTCTTCCACCACTTCCTCCACTCCATCCTCCCCAGCTCCTCCCTTGCCAAGCAGTGCCACACCACCATCACCATTACATCCATCCCCACAGTCAGCACGGCAACAAAAACAGTTTAATCTGACAGGTGAGAAAAAAATAAGATATCTGCATGTTTTTTTATGTTTATAAAAGCCACATGTCTGAGCAGAGATGTCTGTTTAGCTGCTATGCTGATGATACTTCTATTTATCTAAGACTTGTTGAATATGCAGCTATAACATATTTAAGAGTGAATTAAAAATTAGAAAACTTGTCTCTCAGGAACTATGGTATTAAGCTTTTAGAAATAATTTTCCCTTAAATGGACCAACAGGCAGCTGCAGTAAGGGGTTCTGAGAATCCGTTGATTTACCTGACAAATAAAGTAACATGAAGCATTATGGTATTTATCAAAACCATCCAAGATGGCGTGTAGCATTACACTTAGTGCTTGTGGTGCTATCTTTGGTGATTTGATAATTTATTTAAATTATTGTGTTCACAAAAGGAGCTTCAAACAGAGATTCAGTTAATTGTTGGGGATATTTAACACCCCAGACATAAGACTAATAATAACACCTGTAATAAATAAAATATTATAATCTGGATTAGCATTATATTTAGATAATTTCCTAACCTCTCTAGAGATTCTGTATTGTATCTTTAATAATAATAACTGAACTTTATTGGTGTCACATTGGAGACATTTACCTCTGCATATTAACCCATCCCCTTGGGGAGCAGTGGGCTGCCATGGTGCGGGACTCGGGGAGCAGTCTGGGGTTAAGGGTCTTTGCTCAGGGAGCCAGAGTGCAGGCTGTGGGGATCGAACCAAATACTTGCAACCTTCTCAGAGCACAAGCACACTGCTGTAACCACTAGTCTAACACTTCCTTTAATAAGGTGACTGCAGGTTGAAACCACATCAATGTTTCACTCATATTCAGTTTATATTGTTTATAAAACTATAATTTCAAAAATATATTGAATTTCACCAGGTAGTGCTGCTTATCCCATATTTATTGTTTTTCTTTGGAACCAAGAATCCAAATTCCCTTCTTTTTTTCTAAACTTTGAGTTTTGCACACATACCTTCTCTTGTTTAGCACCCAAGGAGGATGTGGGTCCAGCAGGTCGGTCTCTCAAATACTGAACCCAGCTCAGCAAATTTATATAGAGCAAAGCTCTAGGGAGTGTAATCCATTCATGAGCCTGTCATCATCATGGACCTTTGTGAGGAAACCTTTGGGAGCCCTGAAAATTTGTTCCCTCCTAATTCGTCTATTTACTTTTTATCCCACACCATTTTCCATGAGTGTCTGTGCAGTCTTTCAATGTTTAAAGCAAACAGTTTAAATGTCCCACACCTAAAGTATCACAATGATGTGTGGATCTGTGGTAATCCCATCCTGATGATCATCAGGGGAGGAATGTGATGTGAGAAAAGGTTTAAATATTATACGATTTGATTTTGAATCTTATGAACCTATTTTAATTATGTGACAGGTTATGTGTCATTCTATGAGTTTTGTAACCTCATAATTCAATCTGTTACTGAAAATTAAGTAAAATTAATTGCCTAAGAGAAATTATGATGTAATCTTGCTTCACTTCCCTACCTCACCATCTGTGTTGCGCTTTCCCCTGTTCCCCAAAGAGTGACAATGAGTGTAATCCCTGTGTATGAGTTAGAGCTGGTGTTAGTATCATATGAAAGCTTTGTGTCTCGTTTTGTGTCTTGTTTTGTGCGTATGCAAGCTTTATAAATGAGACCTATGGTCTGCATGGAGGGGGACCAGACCTGTAATTGGGGATATCCAACATGTTAATCTTGATATTCTATTGTGTGTGGTATTCCTCAAGCACAGACAAGGACCTATGAATCTGATGTGTAGCCAATCAAAAATAATTTCCCCAGAAAATAAACAAACAAAAACAGCAGCTCAACAATGTACTAAGAAGAATCCCTGCTTGTGCTGTCTCTGTTCCTTTAACAAAAGCCTTTTGCTATTGCGATGTTTCTCTAGTAAACTTAGCTCACAAAGAATCAGTGTTACTTCTTTCTCTTTTGCAATGTTTATTTACTCAGGTTTGATCTTGAGATGTAATGTGAGATTTTTTTTCTTTCTGAATGAAATCTGTTCGTGTACTTCTTGCCGTTTTGCTGAACAACACATACCATAGAACAGAACCTGTTATATCCATTTTTTATTGTCATGTGTGGAATCCCTTTTATTTTAAAAATCACCCAAAAGATTTTAAATCTTGTCATGTGACACAGTAATTGCAGGTCCATTGCCTTGCTCTCTCAGTGCAAATACATTCCTTCTGTCTTTGATGGGTTGTTTCTGACAGAGATGGGTATATTTCTTCAAATGGCAGTAGAACCACTAGGAGGAACAAAAACGAGCATTGTTTTCTTTGTGGAGTTTTCCGGAAAACAAAACATATGTTGTGTAATTTTGCACATCAGAATCAGAATCAGAAATACTTTAATAATCCCAGAGGGAAATTACTTTTGTTACATGCTCTAGTTACAGTTTTACATGATATATACACACATCCAACTATACAATATAATAAAGATACAAAATAAGAATAAAAAGAGATAAAATATATATACACATATAGCTACATATCATCTAGTGCTGATTAGATTTTTGAGAAGACTTTTTTGTCAATTAAATAAAGTTTCAAATCCTTTTAACAACCACATTTGAGTTAAATTGTCCTGATTTTGTTTTTTGTTCCTTCCCTACAGCCTCCAGTTATTTCAAATACAAGCAACAATTCATTTTCCCTGGTAAGACCCTCTTCATTTATCATGTTAAATCTCTCAGTGCTTTAACACAAAAATAAGTTGAGTTAGGAAAAATGTGTTGATGTCAGTAGTCATTTTTGTCTTTTCTCACCTTGGCTTGTTGAAGGCTCTTGGCTCATGCGCATGCTCTCTTGCTTTTGTCAGCGGTGGTACCATTCACTAGTATCTCATTTGGCAGCCTATTACAGCTGGAAGAGCCTGGAGAGGTTTGAAGGAAAATCAGAAGCTGTAGCCAGCAGGGATCTATTGAGGCAGGTGTTCAGAAATCCATGTATTTATACTGCACAGACCAAAGCTACATATGCTGATTACTATGGACACATTTAATCTTCTTAGGAGAGTTAGATTAAAGGCCTTTACCAATTGTATAACAGAACTGGCCATCCAGCCTGTACTGTTTAATTAGATGATGGACGATGATCTTATTGAACAAAAGTAAAGTCAATGTTGTGTTTAAAAAGGAAAACGATACATTTACATAAGATGTATTGACAGTATTGAGTTGGGTGTTTTCCTCCTGTATGTGAATTCAATAGGTCTAATAGGTAGACATACCGAATATATAGCTGGAATGTGTTGATTTAGTGCAAAAAAATAAGAAATTTTCCCCCCATAAATGCCATACATGCATGCATATGAAGGGTTCAGATTGGACACTGTTAGCTTACAGTCCTTATTTACAGGTTTTTGGAGCCTGTCCATGAAAGCATTCATGAAGGCTCCACATAGAATAGGAAATACATGTCCCTCTTGCTGTGAGGTGACAGTACCAGCTTTTAATGTGCCATGCAACTGAGGGGCTTTTTGCAGCTTGCACTTTGTGTCATAAATTGTCACACTGTGTTAACACAGGCCCCAGTCAAGACTTGTCTTTCAGAGGTAAATTTAACACAAAAAAAACCTTACTTTATATTTCTTTCCTTTAAAGCTTTTCTAAGAAAAAAATATAAAACTCAAATCAAGTCCCTAAATATACTTAGATTATAATTTAAATGTTGTTAACATACATCTAAGATTCACATGATCTTAAACATACATGTGTATATGTAAAGCACTCAAAACTGCTATAGAAGTCCCTATTTAATGTATCTACAAAAGCCTTAAATTAAAGTGTTGTTGTGAATTTGGTGACACCAAAATGCAACACTTTGTTTTATTTAGTCAATGAAGTGTTACAGAGCTTTGGCAACTTTTTTAGCTTCCCTTACAATCCTTTTTCACTGTGGATGGTGGTGGGATACGTTTTTAGACTGTCACCCACTTCTGGCTTTGGTTGTAAGAGTTGCAGACCCCTTTTATCATTGTTCCTGTTGTTTGTACAAGCCAGTTTAGGTAAGAAGCTGTTTTATTGTTGTTATTCAGATTCATGCAAGTCATCACACATTTCCTTTACCTAAAACAGAAAGTCAAAGAGAATTCACTCTCAGTGTCAAGTTATATTTTATATTCAGCTTAAAAAGTATGTACTAAAAAAGTGTCAGACCATTTTTTTTCGTTGTTGTTGTTTCTTTCTTTTTATTTTTAATTAAGATTTTGTTAAAAACGATCGTTCCATGACCTGTATGTATTTCCATGCTGTATAATTGTACTGACAATTTTTTGGTCTGAGATTCTGCTACTGCAGTAAACACATTTATGCATATTTTAGCTCTTTTAGACCTCCATAACTTTTGTGTCAATTATTTTTGGAGGATATTGCATATTTGCTGAGCAGCGATTTACAGATATATATCCCATAAAACAAAGTGCAAACATGAATACACAAGTTTTTTCTTTGCATCCTGTGTTGATATTCCTCTTCGAAAAGAGAAAGATTAATCATATAATAATTATTTACTATTTACTATACAATTTTTTACTAAATACTTCACTAAAGGCATTAACAATTGAACATATTTATTAGCTTTTTTTTTCTTCTAGCAAATACCACTTCCAAAGCTGTTAATTTCCCTGGCACATGCAAAGTTCCCTACTTTAATCATAGCAAGGGTTACAATGCAAACAAGTTATCAAATATTAAGGAAACAATTTCTTTGTAAAAAATATGTTTGGTTGCTTCTAGATTTTGCAGTTTCTAAATTTGTTAAAAATTATTGCAGACAGAGATTAAATTATGATTTTACCACTATATACTTTATATTTCCTGTTTTAGTGAGCACTTTTCCACAATGCCATCTCTCTCTTAACTCCTTTGGAGAGATTGGACTGTTATTTTCAGCAGCCTGGTCATATTTCTCTTGTTATAGTCAAAGTTACAAGGCTTTATGTTCCTAGCATCTGCAGAGATAGAAAGTAAAATAAATTGGATTACTTTGGTTGCTTCTACCCAAGATGAGGATAGTTGTAATAATAATTGTTTGCATGTCACCCCTCTCAGAAGGAGCAGTGGACTGCCACTGCCATTGGGGAGAATGTTGGAACTCTCTGTGGTAATAAAACTAAGGATTTGGTGTCTATCAGGACAAAAGCACCCAATCTGACCACAATGCCATCTGTTGATGCTCAAAACTCTAGTCTACCATGGGGAGTACAACTTGATCTTGAAATATATATTTAACATCATCCACATATCAGCCGTTTTTTTGTCCTCATACAGTCTTGGTCTGGTGGGAGGAGGGGTTTATAAGCAGCTTGTTTAATAAAACATTCTCTGCAGTATGTCATCATCCAGCCAAAGGGGAAGAACTCTTATTGGAAAGGTTCTGTCTGTCTGTCTAATTTGTTTGCTTGAGTTACGTTCTGAAGTGTTGTAACTTTAATGTCTCCAGATGTTACTCCAGAGGCACCTCCCAGTAGAGCACCGCAAGTCATTCTGCACCCGGTCCTCTCTGAACAAGGGTGAGGAGAATACATATTGTTATTCATCCATCTCTTTCCCTCCATCTGTCCTAGTTCGACAAAATACAGAGTCCCCTCCTACATCGTCTTTCTTTCTCTTCCTGTGACCCCCCGGTCAGAGGCCTAGTCAGACTTACTGGAGCACAGATATTTGGGTGACAATTTCAATATGAGGGACGGCATGATGATTACTCAGAGACTAATGTAAGCTTGGCCTTCAGTTCACGCTACACTTGGGATGCCAAGTGCATTTTCACTGGCTCTTTGAGAAAGCCAGTGGTCACGGGAAAACATCCGGAAGACGATGATAGGTGATGAGATGCCTTTTGACCCCAGTATTAGCATCTCAATCTAACACAGAAATCAAGTGAAACCAAAGACCCAATCTACAGGAGAAATTCAATTGTAATAATATCACCACTTAGTATACATTACCAAAAAAATAACACATGACTTTATTTTATTTCCTATTCATATGCATTATCTCTTAACCTGTAAACTGATCTATAGTAAAAAAAAAAAACATGTTAAATACACCTCTGTGTATATAATGGTTTAAAAACAGGAGGGGGTTATAGAAGGTTTTATACAACAGAACTAAAACAACTGCTAGCTTTAAGATAAAAATAGAAAAAAAAGATTTTATTGATTAGTAGTACTGGTATTATAAATTCTATAAATATAATTACACTGTACTTAACACATGTGTTGTTTCTAGCTCACTTACTTACACTGCTTTCTTTTGAATTATCAGAAAAGACCAATGAAAACATAAGGCTATGACTACTATGGCAAAATATGACCATTTTCATTGAATATAAATATAAGGAGAATGTACTCTTTGTTCCAGCAAAACAATTGTTTATTTTCAAAATACCCATTTTCTTGGATACCATTTTGTCACTTCTGACAAACAACAAAGTTGCAGTTTATTAATTCAAAAGCTTTGTAAAATAAATCCTAACTTTTCAACAGAGTAATTGAAAACTTGACATATGAACTTCACTGGAATGAACATTATGATTTATTGAATGTCGCAGCATCAAATTATTTTTTCTCAACCTCAACAGTGCTGAGAAAATACTCTTCCTATATTTGTTCTTGATTTAGGAAGCCATGCGTGACTACATATTTTAAAAATGTACTTCAGAGTAATACCATAAACCTCCCTGTCTCTGAATTCTGTGGCTTTAGTGAAGCACTTTCTTTTCTTTTCTTTATATCTTTTGTTGTCACTCACTCCTTAGTACACTCCTCCTTTATCAATGTTATCGCCCCTCCCTAGCCACATCTTAGTATGCAATTACAGTAGCAGGTGGCAGATTTCTCTGGCCTTAACGGCCTCGTCTCAGGGTTAATGAGAGCCTGTTTCAGCCCTCGACGCCCTGCAGGATTCCCTCATTAGAGCAGAGATCGAACCGGTGCTAGCAGCCTCTGGCGCCGCAGGAATCACATTATTTTATAAGTTGCCTCACCTGTAGTCTCTGCCCACAGCCTAGGAATGCTTTGTTAACAAGTGCTAATGTACCACTGGAGAGGTTGTTAGAGGTTACAGCCATGTTACAAATGGAAATACGTGGATATGAGGGTTTGTTTTAGTTATGTTATTGCCATCAACTGCACATGAAGGTGAAGATACACATACTGGGGTCAGAAAGTAATCGGGCCTTGGGGTAAAAATGCACTTTAGAGATAATAAAATGGTTGAGATTAAAAATGGGGGTCAAGAAAAGCAAGCCTCTTACATTGTATCCTGCTCAAAATGTAATCATGAGTCTGTCTTTGTCGTTTTGCAAAATGTTTAAGTTGTACCTGGTAATTTATTGAATGAAGCTGTCAGAGATTATTTTCCCTACATAATGTGTAGGAAAATTGTTAAGATTTGTAAGAAATAGTAATGCATCCTTATTGCATTAAAGGGAATTAGAAAATATTATAAATTCAATTTCCAGGCTACAAAAAATTAAGTTTTTGAAAAGAATTGTAAAAGTGAAAGAAACCTCTGTAGCAATTTAATGTTAGGAAACATGTTGGATGCCAATATTCTGGGTTCTCAGGCTGCTGTGACAGAGAGAATATGTTCTGTAAAATTACTAAAATAAAACAGTTGTGAGTTCAGAAATGGCTTGAAGCTGTAAAAATATATTATTTTATAGTTATTGAGGTTGCCTCAATAATAGACGTTGCATTTTAAAAAAAAGGATTCTACATCAGCAAGATGCCTGGCTTTTTTGGTGTCTTGTTGAAAGAGGACTAAAAAAACGTTACCAGTGTACAGAGAAAGGTGGCAAGTAGCTTCAATAATAACCCGCCATTCACTCAGAGATCACTTTTTTTTTCTATGCATGATTATTGCATTGCGCTCTAGTGCACAAAAAGTGTCAGTACGTATAATGACAAATATTTCAGCTTCTCCAAGATTGTTCCACACCCACAGACACCCACAGTTTATCAGGTGCAGGTGCAATCAATCTGCAATCAGTGCAGTGAAGCAGCACCACAGAATACATTTCCACACAATAAACAATGCAGTGGCTCTTTTTTTTAAACATCACAAAATTTTAATGATTATAACTGTTGTGTAATTAGGCAGAAATAATGCTATATTTGACAAAGTTTTAAATACACAAAGCAGGCCCAAATGTATATTAGATTTTTCCTACTATTTTTTCTCTTAATTAGGAATGCAATTCAGGGATTAATTAATTAATCTTAAGTTTAATGATCTTCGTGATCAACTATCGATTTATTAATAAAAGGTAATTTTCTTAAGAGCCTGAGTTTTCTCTTGTTTCAAGAGGATTTTACCATAACATGTAGGGCTACATTTTTTTTCACCATACAAAGAGGAAGTATTTGAAACCCTTCTAATTTCCAATGAACAGAAATGTAAAACCTTTATTAAATGACGTTTGCCACTTTTAAATGCTGACTATTTGCGGCTTCAGATTATTGAAGTAGATACTAAGTGTGATATCATTTTGTTTTTACCATAATGCAGCAATCAGGGCTGGGTGAGATTTTGTGTTGTTAGTTAAACTTTTTAATAGGTGGTTTTGGTTCTATAGACCGTATTAACTCACAAAAGCCTACACTAGCTAATATGCCTATTGCTCGCATGTCTTTTTCTGTCATGTTAACCAACTTGCCTTTCAAGCACAGCAGACATTATGCTGCTCCACCATGCAGCACAGCTAAAAGAGCACAATTTAGGTGATAACTTTACTTAACCAAGTCTTTATATTTCGAAAATAACTGCATGCATTCTGCATCCCTGTTGCCATAAAAAAATAACCCCAGACCAGAGCAGAGATATGCAAGAGACATTACCTCTCTTTCATATTTCGCTGAGCCTACATTCAAGAATGGTGCCAGTAGTGCTCTCTAATGGATGGTAGTAACATTACAACAGTGAAAAAAATTCCTTATAAGCAAATTTTTCCAGTCTGATGGAAGAAATAAAAATTTGATAGACCATTGATTGACAATTAATAATAAGTTAACATTTTTTACATTTAATCAAGTCGTATGGATTTATTTTAGATGTAACATTTTTATTGGAAAGCAAATGGGATTTACAGTTCCCCCCATTTCTTTGTAGTCTAGGTGAATATGAGTTGAGGCAAAGCCCTACCTCTCTCTCCCACTCACTAAAATGGAAAACCTAAGAGTTGCTAGATGTTTTCAACTTCCTTTTTGTTGCTTGATGTCTCTGAGTCTTCCAAGGTTAAATTGTTGTTTCTTGTAAAGATATGTACAAAAGCATTGATGCAATTGCATAATGTAGTACTGAAAACACAGAGACACTTTACAGCAGACAACTGCTCACTGGATGGACCAGAAGTTTCTTTATTGCATTATCAGTCAATATTCCTCTTCAAAAAGAAGACATTAAGCAAAAAATATCTTTTGCAGGTTATAATTTGGGAAGGATTTGGGAAAAGAGTAAATTCCCTCAGTGAAGTTAAAAGAAAAAAGCTGTATGAGTACCCTACATTTTAATTGGTTTTCCTGGTAAAGATGGGAAAGAAGAGCTTGTAAATTACACCATTAGTATCATTTACACAAAAAAATATTATTCGATAAAAAGAATCTGATTAAAACATTTTTGTTTTGTTGTTTTTGATTTTCTTTAGCCCTATTAATTTAGAATTTAATTTAATCTTTGTTCTTTCAGGATCGAAGGCAATCCTTTACTTCAAATCGAAGTTGAACCTACTTCAGATGTGAGTCCCTCTTTTATTTAATAGAATTTAGGTGTGGCTCAAAGTTTTCTGCTCACCAGGTTGCTTTGCATCTCCATGTTGTTGTCTGAGCCTGCTAGTGTATGTGAATGGAATGCCAACAAAGCTCCCACCATCCCTCGTCACACTCATTTGCGTCGTTTTTCCATTTAGTATAATTTGTCTCAGCTCTCTGAGGTGCCTCCAGGTAAGTTATGCGTCAAAAGCAGTCAGACTGCTGCTCGTCAGTCCTTTTTCTGTAACAATGATAGATTCTGAGAAAATGTAATGCAGATTGCTTTGGATGATATTCCACCTGGCATCTTTGAATAGCGTATTTTCACTCTTTCAGTTCATTATTTTTAAAATCAAATCAGAGCAAATCAGCCACCTTTTTCCCTTGGGTTTATTCCTATTTTCTTTGGTAGCAGCCTGAACAGCACTCTGCATGTGAAATACACCCAGCTAGATATCAATGACTTATTTCTTCATGAGAAGGTTCCGCAGTTAAAGCTGCATCAGAATTTATTTTAAAATATTTTGACAGTAATTGGCAAGTTTAATATGTATTTTCTTGTGGAATGGGACAGTCATTAGATGCTCAAAATAGGATATAAATGTGCACAAAATTCACCTGGGTAAAGAGTCTTTGCACGAAGCAACAACTTTTTGTTTATATATGATTATTATATTCGTAATCTACAAAACTGTGCAATGCTTCTTTAGTATTAAAGCAGTGAATTAGTAAAAAAGAAAGCTTGTGGCTGATTTCCAATGTTTGATAATTTTTGTAGTTTTCATCTGCTAATTTTAAACCATTTTGTTTTTCTGTTTTATGTGCATAATTTAAAATTATATTTGTTGCAATTCCAAATAAGGGGGAATATACTGCCGTTAAGGTTTCTTGCAAATTCGAAAGATCAGGATGTGTGCAGGTAATCTACAAATATTGCAAACTGGTTTGGTTCTGCCCTATTACAATGAGCAGATTGCATGTTAAAGAAAGATGAGGTTTTTACATATGTAGTTTTAAGATATAATTAAAATATTAATTTAAATGATAAAAAGAAAATAATATTATTCACAGTTCATGCTCTTAGAGACCCTATCTACAAGTGCTATAAACAATGTATAAAAGGATAAAAACTAAGTTTAAAGTTAAGTTAAAAACTAAAATATCATAAAACGTGTGAAAGTAATTTTTTTCAACTAATTTCAATGGTTAACCATACAAGAACCACAGTCTCTGTACTTTTCAGACAGATTCTTAAAGGTCATAAGGATAGAAAAAAAAGGAACATTGTTTAACATTGTTCAACTTTACTAGTATATGCCAAATATCTTGCTATATGTCTTGCAGCGTAAGTAAACCAAAGCATGTCTACACATGATATTAGAATGTTTAATGTTGCATTTAATTTGTTTCTTACATCTCTGTTCTTTATCTGATTTAATATCTATACACTGAAACTAGCTATTTTTGAGTTATCTTTACTAACTACTTGCTGTATAACAAAATTAGGCACAACAACAAAGCGCTGATTGGATGCAAATTTTTGGTTGGGTATTAGAAATTCTGTTTGCATGTATGTATATATTATATAAGGCCAGTTGGGATAAATGTTCACTGCCCTTGATGCCTAATCAGTGTACAGTATATACAGCACTTTGTATTGGAGATGCTGACATTGTGATAAAAGAAAAGAAAGATAAATGTTTATTTTCTTATTGGCATCTTCATTACATCATAATGAACAATAGTATATTGTTTTTCTCTAAAATACTGTAGTTCTAATCCCTCGTTGGGGATCTTTTCCTTACCACAGAATGATGATGGTAACAACGAGGACTCTGGTGATGAGTTTGAGGAGATGAATTTGTCCCTTCTGTCTGCTCGCAACTTCCCACGTAAAGCCAGCCAGACGAGCATCTTCCTACAGGAGTGGGACATTCCCTTTGAACAGCTGGAGATTGGAGAGATGATCGGCAAAGGGCGCTTCGGCAAGGTGTTCCATGGACGATGGCATGGGGAGGTTGCCATCAGATTGATCGACATAGAGCGGGACAACGAAGACCAGCTGAAGGCCTTTAAACGTGAGGTGATGGCATACCGCAACACTCGACATGAGAACGTAGTGTTGTTTATGGGGGTGTGCATGAGCCCACCGCATCTGGCCATCATCACCAGGTAAGAAAAAATTCTGGGCAAGCCACTTCCGTTGGAGATTGAATTTGCTTTATTATTGTATGTTCTTTCATTGTTTTCAATAAATATATTATATTGCTTCAGTAACATGTATCAAACTATATAAGATATGAGTACAAAATAATGTATTTGCTTTTAATTAACAGCAACTTTGGTTTTACTTTGAAATACAACATTATATCAAGTGAGCTTCAGCACGTGTGTTGCAAACCTTTAGCACCTTCTCTGGTACCTATAGCCGATTAGCTTCACCATGACTAATAGAAAAAAACTCCAACCCATTTTGATTAGATCAAGTATTTTTTAGTTACATATCTAAAGTTGATGTAATTTGCTGAATGAATACTGTGGAGATCAACCAATGTAAAATAACATTTTTACATGGTTTTAAATTCTGGAATTGCACTGCTTAAGGTGGCTGCGAGTTATAGTAACTCTGTTAGCTTGGTTGTGATATATATTTTTTTCCTTTTAAACAAAAATTCAATTTCACAATTTGTGGATCAAAGTAAAACATTTTTTATTTACTTTACCTCTGGTATTTTGATGCTAGTGCAGCTGGAAGCAATTTTGCCGGTATCTTACATTATTGGATATTTGTTGTAATGCATATCCATAGCATTTTTTTTTATTTTTTTTTTATTCCTGGTAGAACCTCATTAATATCTCAGATGAAATAATTCAAAAGGTGTGGCCCCCATCTGCTGCACTATTCTAAGCCCCAAACATTATTTGGGCTTGTTCCCTCCTTTTGCACCATGCGGGTGTCTGGTACCTCTGTACCGGTCTGTCGGTGCAGTGATGGTTCTTTCTGTGCGGGGTTGGGTGTTTTGTTGGGTACCGTCGACAGTGTTGCCAGAATGGGCACCCAATTACCTCCCAATTGTGTGGTTTTCATTTTGATTTTGCAGGTAAAAATTGCTTTGGACAGGTGGAGATAATTTGGACTAGTTCAGAGTCCAAATTATTAAAACACGTGTCCACCAATCATTCATCATTGCTGGTTCATAGCAAAGAATCACTGATTGGCTAATGTCATCTACCAGGGTGTTTACAACAGATAACTAGTGTAGTGTGGCTACAAAATATGCTAGCTTTAGCTGGTGTGATAAACCTAGCGGGAAGATGCCGAAGTGGGGAAAATATAATAAGAGTTACAGAAAAGAGTGGGAGAGCGACAATGATCATAAATCGTGGATAGCGCTATTTAAAAATTATGTAAGCAAGGCTCACTGCTAATTTTGCAGTATGGACATACGGGCCCACTTGAAAGACGTTAAGGATCACGCCGAAACAAAAAGCACAGAATGCGGTGCCTTCCCATGCTCAAGGATTTCATGGTGGCATCGGTGATTAATGCTAGCAGCAGGATTTGTGATGACCAGAAACACTGTAAACTCCGCATTGCAACATAAGTAGTTTGCCACACTCACATTAATGCATTAGATTACTTGTCTGACATTCTGCAGGATGATATTGGAGCCTTTCAGATGCACAGAACCAAGTGCACAGCAGTAATCAAGTCTGTTTTGGCACCATACTTTCGAGAAGAACTTCGAGACTACATCAGCTACTGCGACCACTGCTTTCAGGATTTAGCACTTGCTGCAATTAAACTCCTCTCCCTATATGAAATACGGCAGTTGAAAGAGCTTTTTCGCAAGTTGCTCTGCTTAAAGACAACTCCTCAAATTGCATGGGCCTGCCATTCCTAACAAGTTTGATGGATGTGTGAACTAGACTAACACAGAATGGATTGACATCAGCAACATTCTGTCCTCCTGGACAGGTATTGGGGAGATTTCATTCAACCATTTACTGTAACAATTCACAATTGACTGCTTTACAGTTCACTGGAGTAAAAGTTTAGCGTTCAGATGTTCATTGTTTCAGCCAACAATCTAATAAGCATTAAAGATAAGCATTCAAAATCAACCATAATAAATGCAATTTTTCAGTTATGTATAAATAAGCTTAGCATATTTGTGTGTGTGCACTCATCGTAGAATGGTTTATAAATGCAAAAAGAGGAGTAGTCTTCGTAGTTATGAATCCACCTGCAAGTACCAGTATGGGATGTGTCACATGACACTCACTTGATCTGACATTGCTGTGGTGGCTGGCTCAGAGTTGTTTATGGTGAACAACTCTGGCTTTCTAGGACCACAACTGGGTCTACCTTGGGTGCGACTTGCTGCCAATGGAGCACATGGGTTTGTCGCTGCAGCTCCTTGGGGCTCACCCATCCTGGAAATGGAAAGAATTGACAGATTGATGACTATTGTTTCTGTAGGTGGTGCATGGCTGTTCTTAATTGGTGGAGCAAATTGTCTAGTTAATTCCAATAACAAATGAGAATCTGGCATGCCAACCGGTTACACGGCCCTACATGAACGGCTTCCAACTTTTTAGAGTGACAAGTGCTGTATAACACTGAACAATAACAGGTCTTTGCTACCCTTAGATGTCTGGGGCTGCACAGGCACAAAACTAGGTGGATCAGCAAATGTCTACCCTTTACCAACAGTTGTGGGTAACCTGCTGAACCTCGTTCAAACTCTAGCAAAAGTTCAACAGTCACGTTTATGATGGGGATTGCAATAATTTTCCATGAACATTTAGTGCTGGTCATAACCTTCGTTGATTAAGTCCCTGCCTTTTGTACACACTTCCCGTCGCTACTACTGTTATGGTTTAGTAATGGCCGGGTTCAGTCACAGCCCTGACAAAACCCAGAGAAGATTATCAAACTTAACTATCTAAAGGAAGTCAAGGTTGTAACAAGCTGTCCATAGGTGAACCTGTGGAAGGATTATTACTAAGAGTGCACCGCACCTGGATCCCCTGCACCTCTACATTTGGCAATAGCAGCAGTTAGGGTCCATCTGTCTATGTGACACATGTTCAGGTCGAAGAGGCGTGCTCTTACCCCAGAGCGTGTCTTTTTGAGGCCCCGCTGCGGGTCCAGAGGATCGTAAGGGCGCCAAGCCATCTTGAAACACGCACAAAGGAGTCTTACACTCACTGGAGTCAGAGGGCCGAACAAAGCACCGTGGCACAATGAAAGTGAGGACCACCGTGCGCTGCAATGGCTTAGTGTGTGATTGACTACATAAACCCCTTTGTAGATAACACCATTACCACCAGAAATGTGAATTGCTTCCTTCCCTATAAATCCTGGATCACCAGTGATTTGAAGGAACTGCTAAACAAGAAAACAAGAGCTTTGAGAAAGAGAGCCCGAGAATTATGAAAGAGTATACAGATTCAAATATAGGTCAAGATAAAAAAAAAAAAGTCATACAATCATCCAAATGCACTGGAGGGATGTTCATATTTTTAATGCTGTTTACTTGTTAATTTCTGTGCAAACTGTAAAAGTAACTTGGTACAGTAGAAGATATAGTTTCTAAAATGCCATGGCATGACAACCTTGGATAAAAATGCAACAGTTTCACAAAATTTGTTGCAAAAATGGTGTATAACATACCGATTATAATAGAATGGTCTATAACAAGTTTTTAGCTGCATTCATTCAATACATACTATTAAAAATAAAGAAACAAACCTGGTAAATGTATTACAGTTATAATGTAATTTTTTGCAGTTCTTCTTTGTCTTTATCACCGATATAACAAGCTGATATTATCTACTTAAAGCAGCCTTGTGTAACTTTTGCTGCTAGAGCTTTCAGGGTGTGAAATTGTGAATTTTGAGGTTTGATGTCCCTGAAAGCAACTGGCACCACATCACAGTCCCAAAATTAATCAATAATCTCTCTCTCTGTTTTGGAATAAAGTTGCCTCTAAAGATATGGCCACATTCATTCCTCTAATTAAATCCTGCACCTGAGAACCAAAAATATGTCTTATCAACTAAGTTTCATGTCTGTTTTGTTGCCTAGCAACAAATTTGAGCTCAGTTAACTTTTGAATTTGGGAAACAGACTGCCTTACAGAAGCAGAAGGGCAGCCTGCACAGCGATTCAATACAGGCCGAGTGCTGTATATTAAACTCAAAAATAATTTAGTATATCTCAAATAAGGCTGATTCTCTGGTCAAAACTTGCAAACTGGTGCTCTAAATAGTTGCATTTGCTTGCAGTTGGCTGCAAGCATATCTTAATGACAAGCAATTAGCACCAGGGGGAAGAGGCACTGCATTGATATTGGACACCATAATGCCACTAGCATTTAATTAAGAGTACTTTAACCTGTAGGAACATAAGGACAGAATTTCTTTGTTATATTTCTAAAGCATTAGTAGATCTTGATATCAGTTACCAATATTTCTTCATATAAATACATCTTACAAGTTTGAATATGCTCTATGTTTATTGGATATACAGTATGTGCCTACAGCATAAAAATAATTTTACCTAAAATGTAATGCATGCTTATATGTACAGATGTACTTCTCATTGGTGCAAAGGTTAAGATGGAAAATAAATCTTTTGATATTAAGATGTGAAATTTTCCCTTCGATAGGTAGAGTTTGTTTATTCCATAGATGTAAACAGAATGTTAAGCCACAGAAAAATTTGTAAGTTAACATATTAAACTGCTTTTTGAATATTATTTAAGAATTTCTTGGAGGGAGGAAAAAAAGTCAAATATACTAAGTTTTATTTTTCCAGTGGTTCTGATCTGTTTGGTGCTTATCTCATCATATCTTTGAAATGTGTAGATTTCCTCTGTATCTATACAATATTTGCTTGTAGCTGTGAGGTCCTTGCAGTCAGCATCCCCCTGGCACTCCTTTCAGATCATCCACAGACCTGCTCTGTTATGGAGTGTCTGACAGTGAAACATGCAGACGTTATTAGAACAGGCTGCGTAGATGAACCACCCACACCTCACAGCAAAGAGTGAATTCTTTTTTGCAGGCTCACAGCAGATTAAGCATTGCAAGTTAACCAGAAAGAATTTTCATATGTAGTTAACACCTATTAATTATTTCATGGTTTAGTGCTTGCATTCTCA